TGCAGCAAATTCCCACCGGCGCGTGGGATACATATATATATCCACCACCCCACTCTCGGATCCGCCTTGAGCGCGCTGGCTAATGGATGGCACTCCATACCAAATGGGGGTATGCTCTGGGCCTGGTCGAGCAGGCCATTTTGAGCAGACCATCTGAGCCAGGGGCTCCATCTTGGTGCTACTGCAGTCGTGCAGGATGTGATACGCGACTCATACATTCGGCCTGCATGCCCAGATGGAAGTGTACAGAAATAGCCTTCTTAATAGCCACCTTCACGTTGGAAGGGCATGGACAGCTTGAACTCAGCATGAACTCAGCATGAACTCAGCATGAACTCAGCATGAACTCGGCATGAACTCAGCATGAGGGAGTTCTTTCAGACCTGGCTGTGAGTCCGCCACGGAGAAGGGTCAATCGAAAAATAGAGCGACTTGATCAAAGTACTTAGTACGTAGTAGAGCGAGATGATATGCAGTGAAGTATGCATTGAAGTATGCATTGTTGTCCCGTAGAGGCAACTTACTGTACTTAACTTACAGTAGCGATGGTGGTTCCCACGGGGGATTGAGCATCGCCGTCGCCTGTCTCCTGTCGTCTGGCTCCTGGCTCCTGGGTCAATTGCCCTGCCTATTTTTCCAGGGTTGCCCCCCGATCCAATCCCATCCCATCCAATCCCATCCCATCCAATCCCATCCCATCGCACCTCATCCCCATCCCCATCCCCATCCCATCCTCGTCCTCGTCCTCCTCGTGATTACACGTGGATGGAGTTAGATCACGGGAGCCACGTCACGGTCTATGACTCGTCTGTCCGCTCGGTTCTATGCGCAAAGATCTCTCCTAAAACGGCTCGCCGGCATCGCCTTGCCTAAGCGTGTTCTCTCTGCTCAATGTCATTCCAGCTTTGTTACTACTAGTACTTCGAGTCCCAAGCGACATGACAGCATGGCAAATACGACGATCACTCTCCCCCGAGACCCTAACACCCTTTCCAACTACAACAGCTGGCGCACAGCTCACACCACAGCCAATCTCGAAATCTTGTTTGACGAACAGAGACTGAGCGGCAATGTGGTCTTGACCCTCAAGTCCATCACCCATGCAGAAAGCAAGCAGATCTTTCTGGACACCAGCCACCTCGACATATCCGCCATCAAAGTCAATGGCCGTTCGGCCAAATGGGACCTGTTGCCGCGCAGGGAACCATACGGCTCGCCTCTCAGGATTTCCCTCGAGACGGGCATTGCGGCCGACCAGACTGTCGAGGTTGTCATCTATCTCTCCACCACCACATCTTGTACCGCTCTTCAGTGGCTCACTCCCGCACAAACCTCGAACAAGAGACAGCCATATATGTTCTCACAGTGTCAAGCGATCCATGCACGCTCCCTCTTCCCTTGTCAAGACACGCCGGATGTCAAATCCACCTTCGATTTCAACATCACCTCTCCCCTCCCTGTCATCGCCTCGGGCATCGCCTCGCCCGCCAATCCTACTGCTCCCCCCCCTCCGGGCAGATCTAGCCTCTATAAATTCCACCAGCCCCTTCCCATACCCGCCTACCTCTTCGCCCTCGCCAGTGGCGACATTGTCACAGCGCCCATCGGCCCGCGTAGTGTAGTTGCCACATCTCCTGACCAACTCTCTGCATGCGTCGACGAGCTCTCGGCAGACACGGAATCCTTCCTGCAAGCCGCCGAGAAGATCGTCTACCCCTATGCGTGGCAACAGTACAACGTCCTCGTCCTCCCTCCGTCCTTCCCCTACGGCGGCATGGAAAACCCCATCTTCACCTTCGCCACCCCAACCATCATCTCCCATGACCGCCAGAACGTCGACGTCATCGCCCACGAGCTCGCCCATTCCTGGTCGGGCAATCTGGTCAGCAACGCCAGCTGGGAACATTTCTGGCTGAACGAGGGATGGACGACCTACCTGGAACGCCGTATCCAAGCATCCATCCACGGTAACGACGCCTGGCGCGATTTCAGCGCCATCATCGGCTGGAAAGCTCTCACCGATTCCGTTGAGCAGTTCGGTCATGACCACGAATTCACGAAACTGGTCGTCGACCTCAAGGGCAAAGACCCAGACGACGCCTTCTCCAGCATCCCCTACGAGAAGGGCTTCAATTTCCTCTACTACCTCGAGAAACTGATCGGAAAGGACAGGTTCGACACCTTCATCCCCCACTACTTCACCGTCTGGAGGGGCAAAAGCCTCGACAGTTATGATTTCAAAGCCACGCTCCTCGACTTCTTCGCCGGCGATAAAGCCGTCACTGAAACCCTGGCACACGTGGTTCTACAAACCCGGTCTCCCGTCGAAACCGGACTTCGACACCTCGCTCGTCCAGCCGGCGTACGACCTGGCCGACCGATGGCAGAGTCTCACCGACACCGACACCAACACCAACAATCCCACCCAATCCTACTCCTCCCCCTCCCCGAAACCCT